AAAAAAAAAGAGGCCAGGTGCAGTGGCTCACATCTGTAATCCCAGCACTTTGGGAAGATGAGGCGGGCGGATCACGAGGTCAGGAGTTTGAGACCAGCTTGACCAACATGTCAAAACCCCATCTCTACTAAAACAATATATAAAAATTAGCCAGGCATGGTGGCGGGAGCCTGTAATCACAGCTACTCAGGAGGATGAGGCAGGAGAGTCACTTGAACCTGGGAGGCGGAGGTTGTGGTAAGCTGAGATTGTGCCATTACACTCCAGCCTGGGCAACAAGAATAAGACTCCATCTCAAAAAGAAAGAAAGAAAAAATAAGCCGAGAAAAGGAAGCCCCCAAAGATGGGAAGAACCACCAGAAAGAAGAGAGAAAGGAGGTGGAGACAGGCACAGGCCTGTAATCTCAGCACTTTGGGAGGCCAGAAGTTTGAGTTCAAGAAAGGAGGCAGGAGGGACCAAGATGGGGAAGGAAGAGTGGTGGTTAATTTTTAGATTTTTCATTAAGGCGGAAGAGACATCAGGAAGCTGATAGATTGAGGGTACACCATTTCCTAAGAGGAAGGACCAGGGACAAGAGGAGAGGCTCAGCAGGGAGTATCCAAAGCGCCCTGGCCTGGCCCTGATGCTTCTCTGAAGCAGCAATCTCCAGAGAAGTCAGAGAGCAGACACTGCCAAAGAGTCCACTGCCAAAACTCAGACTTCCCTCTCCCCTGACACCTGGCCTCCTGCAGGCTGGTTCAAAGACCAAAGGCATTTCTCTCAGTCCCCACTGACAGGAGTGGGAGGAGAGGAAAGAGTTCACTTTCCCAGACTCTACTTGAACCTAAAAGGAGTCAGCCTAGCTGGCTGACACACACTGCTTTGGCTTACAGAGCCCCCCTCAACACACACAGACACACAGGGCCAGACCTTCCCTTGACATCTCCGTTCCCCTTAACACTGCAAAGTCCTCTGCTTCTCAGAATGGAGGCACTATCATCAAGGGGTAATCTAATCATTTGCTAATTATGCAAGAGTCTTTGCCTTCTTAACTGAAGTAAAGAAAGAAACTGCAGAGTCCCTGTCTTAAATAAAACATAAAAAAAAAAAATCTGAATGATCTGTCTGGGACATTTCCCCCACATACCCACTGACCCCCAATGGGCACTGTTCCCTGACCCCTGCAGGGCAAACCCAAGTCCTTCTATGATGTATGCTCCCACAGGATCCTGTCCTTTGCAGCAAGCTGGGCTTTTGTGATTGTCACCTTCTTGTCATTGACTGTTATTTGTGCAAAGCCTGCCTCCCCTGACAGACTTAAGGCTCCCGAGCGTCTGTGATGTTTACTGCTACATCTTTCATATGCCCTCTAAAAATATTTACTGCTTACTTGAAATGCATTCCAACTTCTTGGGTCTCTTGGCATCAAGGATGTCACCTCTTTTAAGTCAAACTCAGAACCTGCCTAGGTTACAGAATTAAGCGCAGGCTTCTTTCATGAAGCTGCAGATCGTCTACCTTGCCTATACTGAGTCATACTGGTCTCTAATCTAAATTTTCTTCCACAGTTACTGTCCCTCCTCCCACACAAGCCACATCTAGTCTTCCCTAAAAAGGCCATTATCATGTCCAGAGTAGCCCCACTTCTGAAGGATTATGGTTCCACTACTAGGAACAAGGTAGGAGTAAAAAAATCAGACCGGTGACTGAATGATATCTCCCTCCTAGGATTAGAGAATGTCACAGCTGGAAGACATTAGTGATCCAAGATCTCAGTTTTCAGAAGAGGAAACTGAAGCTGAGAAAGGTGCACATGGACTGGGCATTTTTGGTACACTTGGTCCTGCACTAAGCACTTGCAGCAGTTATAAAGATGGACAGTCAACAGATCCAGTCCACAAAGACAGGACAACAGCTAAGGCCTTACTTCCCCCAAGGTTCTCTGTCCACTATAGCCTACCTTGCCATCTCCTTAAAAAAGAAGGAAAGAAAGAGTGAGAGGGAAACAAAGAGAAAAAAAAGAAACAGACTACTACCTCCTCTGACATTATGCTCATCCTTCCCAGAGAGAGCAGGTTTTCTCTGGCAAATGGTATCAGAGATCAGAAAACAAGCTTCGAAATTTCTTCTGAGGTATCCTCTCACGAGCAGAAGTGCACAAGATTCCTATTTGTAGTCCCAGGTAGGGAGAAAAGTGAAACATCATCGCTGGTACTCACATCAGAGGAAGACGAAGGCAGCCAAAGACCTCAGACGGTCAGACACAAAGACCACTGGGACAGGCAAGGATTAGGGTCAAGGCTGCCTAGAGCAAGCTGGAAAATGAGAGTAATAATTACAGGAGCAGGCCCAGGTACAGGCTTATGGATACTCGTCTGATTCCAAGGCTGCTGGGCTGTGAGACACCAGATGACTTAGAAAGAGTAACCTGTCTTGCCTTTTTCACAAAAGGGCCAATGGTCTAGGGCTTTGTGCTCTAAACCAACCATTCATCACCCCCTTAGTCAAGGCTCTGAACCGGGCTTTTCTCTACAAGGATCTGAAGCCCGTATGCAAGTAGCAGATGCTGGTTTTTGTTTTCGTTTTTTTGAGGCAGGGTCTTGCTCTGTCACCCAGGCTGTGGTACAGTGGTGTGATAATAGCTCCTGGGCTCAAGCAATCCTCCAGCCTCAAACTCCCCAGCAGCTAGGACTACAAGTGCGGCACAGAACGTGGCTAATTAAAAAAAAAGTATTTTTGTAGAGACAGGGTCCCATTGTGTTGCCCGAGCTGGTCTCCAACTCCTGGGCTCAAGCCATCCTCCCCCTCAGCCTCTCAAAGTGCTGGGATTATAGGCATGAGCCACTTCGCCTGGCCGCAATTACCAATCTCTAGGAGTTGTGAAAATGAAATGAAATTTGGTATGAAACGCATTTCACTAGGAAGGATGTAATTTCCATAAGGGCTGATTTTTGTCCACTGCTGTGTCTCCAGCGTCTAGAACAGGGCCTAGGACTTCTGTGCAAACTCTTCTTATAGTCCTCGGCATGGCATCGGGAAAAGGGTGGGAGGTAGCACTTCCTAACGCACTTAGCACTTCCTAACGCACCCCAGTACCCCTCTTGCTCTTCCTTGGCTGAAAATGCAGGCGTATTTTTGTCTCTTCCAGGATTACAGATGGTGCTCATACCAGTCTAACGCAGCTTAGCAAAACCGGCCAGAGGCTGGGCGCAGCGGCTCACTTGTGACACCTGTAGTCCCAGCACTTTGGGAGGCCTAGGCGGGCGGAGTTTGAGACCAGCGTGAGCAGCATGGAGAAACCCCGTCTCTACAAAAATAAAATACAAAAAACTAGCTGGGCGTGGTGGTGCCCGCCTGCAATCCTAGTTATTCAAGAGTCTGAGGCGGGAGAATCGCTGAGGCCCGCGAGGCGAAGACTGCAGTGAGCCGAGATCGTGTCACCGTACTACAGCCCCAGCGACGGAGTGACACCCTATCTCAAAACAAACACAAAAACAAAAACCGGGCCGATCCCCAAAACGCCTTTCACCTGTGCTTTCAGCTCACCTCAGGGCTCAGGGCCAGCCCCCAGGCTGCTGCCTGCCCTCCGACAGACGGCCTCCCCCCATCGGTACTCCCCCAACCCGGACAGCTCGTAAAGCCCCAGCCCCTCAGCCTGGCAGTCGCAGGCAATGGGAGTCAGAGCTGAGGGGCCCATCTGCAGGGCCCTCCTCGCTCCAGGCCACTCCTCGCGCCACGTGGCTTCTGCAGGTGGAAGTCCAGCCCGCGCTGCGCCCGGCCTGGGCAGTCAGGACAGAAATCTCAGCTCCCTCCCGAGATCTGGCGATTGCAAGGAGATAGGGCGAGCGGCCTCATCCCAAAGCCCCTTACCTGGTCCCCGGACAAATGCCACCAGATAAAGCCCGCCTGGGAAACCTGGCGGGGCGAGAGGAGGACCTGCGCGGGGGAACCGCCCCCACGCCCGCCCAACGCCCCTCCTTCTCCACCAATCCCAGGTCCGCCAGCCGCATGGGCAAGCCTTCTCCACTCAGGGGCCCGGCGAGCCCGCTGCAGCCTCTGCAGCTGCCGTAGCCGGCCCGCGCAGTGGGCGGGCGCCTTGATGCGCTTGCGCACTCTGGGGAAAGCGGAGCTGCACCCCGCCCCGTACCGCTGCTCCGCATCTCCGCTGTGCGTGCTAGGGACGTTGGGGGCGGCGCCGCAGCAGTTGCCCCTGGTAACAGGGGAGGAAGCAGGAGGAGGAGGAGGAGGAGGAGGAGGAGGAGGAGGAGGAGGAGGAGGAGGGACTCGGCGGGAGGATGGTGAGTGAGGGGTCCCGGGCCCCCTTGGAGCCGGCCGGTTACCCCCCTCCCGTCCCCAGGCCCAGGGCGGAGCACTGCGCTGAAAACCAAGGAGGGAATGGGACGGCGATCAGCCTGCTGTGTGGGTTCTGGACTGGTTTTCAGGGTCGGCGGGGAGCCCTGAGGGTGGGCCCTGGAGGGAGGCCTGGGCCTGGAGAGGAAGGCGGGGCTTGCAGCGGGTCCGAGGCTTAGGGAAGGGGCTGGCAGAGTGCGCGGATGGCCGGATGCGGAGCCCGGGCTCCATCATTACTTGGGGGGCAGCGGTGAGGGCGGATCCGAGGAGCTGCATAGAGCAGCTTTTGCTTGCAAGCTTAGACTTCCCGGGCCGTCGGTCTCCCGGCGCTGCAGTAAAGTGGGGTTCTTCTGGAGCCCGGCCAGAAGCGGAGAGAAGGCCGGCCCCGCTGTCTCTGAGGTCGCCCTGGCGGTAGCAGGGGAGATGGTAGTCTAGCTCTCCTCCTTCTCGCGCTCTGCGGGCCCCTGGGGGGCAGGGGAGTAAGTCCCAGGACACCAAGGGGTGCCGCTTGGAAGGGATCCCCGGTGGATTTTACGCCGTCTTTGTGTCTGCGTGGCGGGTGCGCTTCCTCAGTCCCGAATTAGCTAGTTATTTGCTGAGAGTTTTGCAAGACCTGGTTGTTGGTGATGACCGATTTTTCGTTCAATACTTAATCCACGTTGATGGAGGCAAATTAGCTGCCCGGTCCCTAGAATTTCCTTCAAGACCTTTTGCAATCTCCTTTTACATGTGACCACACCAGGACCAAAAATTCTTAATCCTGCCTTGGGGTCTCCAAACTGAAAAGAACGAGAAGTTAAAAATGGAGATTGAACTTCAATCTGGTGTTCTCTGTCAGCCCTAATTAAAGCTGTCCCAAATTCTAAATTATGGTTGTGACAGATCTGACCGTTAACACTCTGTTTCTTGTTGATTTCTGTACAGTTAGTTGGAAGGAGTTAAAATGGAATGAGTAATTTTAGAGCTATCAAAGAAAAATTGATTTTGAAGCACTTAGAGCAATTTAGTTGGCTGCAAAGAGCCTGTAATCAAACTTATATTTACTGTTCCACCTCACTTCCTAGTTCCTTTCTTGACTTTTAGAAATGTTGAGCCACTTCTATTGATTTAAGAAGAAGAAGAAGAAAAAAAGCTAAAGCTAGATGCCCAGGAAGAAAAAATAATACATGTATGTTTGGTCATATTATCCAGTGAGTAGATTTAGATAGGAAAAAAAATCTCAATTGATTTTATATCGCCAGATTGTTAAAGAAGTAGAGTTATTTGTTCTAAAGTTGCCAATCACATTTCACACTTGCTACACTTGCAGGTTTTTTTTTTTTTTTTTAACCTCAGGCTAAACAGATTTTTACAACTCTTTCTTAATCGTTTATACAGGAGCTGTCCGTTTAAAGGCTAAGTTTTTCTCAACAAATGAGTGCAAACATAAATATTTACCCAAAAAATAGCTAGAATTGAAATGAAAAGGGCATGCCAAACCAACAGAGAATGAGATTCGTCATTATGGATGAGAAGTGCATGAGAGTTGGCTAACTTTTCCCAGTTTGTTTATCAATTAAGTGGACTGTGTAATTCCGTGATTGTTTAATGTATAATTACAGGCCACAGTAAATTAACCACTGCTCATGTTTCCAGGTGCAAACTGGCACTGTATACAACAAACTGACAGTGTATATACAACACTTATATACAACTGTTGTGTTCAATGATGAAAACATTTTGTTTTTCTTTTTTCCCTTTCCTAGAATGAACAGTAAGAAATTAGGACAAATTAGTCTGGATTCTTTATCTGCTTTCCCAAATGCATTTTTTTTTTTCTATCTCCAAAAGTGTCAGCTATTCTTAAAACTGGAAGTAGAACACTGAATTTAGTCAGTGATGTGACTTAAGTGTGTCCTATCCGGTATCCCATGAGCTTTAACTGTACAACTGAAGAATGAACCCCAAGTTTTTTTTGTTTTTTTGTTTTAAACTTCAGCTGTGACTAATACACAATTTTTTTCAAATTTGGGTAACCGTGGCAAAAACCCAAATATGGGTTTCCCTGAACATTTAAAGTCAACTGTTTTACCCCTGCTTTACAATGCCGGGTTCTTGATGAATTACTAAAATGACAGTAATTTTAGCACATAACTAACCACTGTTATTTAACATCTGACTCTTTCATTCAGTAATTATTTATGGAGTACTTTCTACATATATGGAGCTTGTGATTGTTCTCATGAATGTTCAACATTTGAAGATTTGTTCCCAACAGTATTTATATTTTCTGGCTGGAAAATGGCAGTGAAAAATTATTTTAAAAAATAAACAAAACACAGGGCTATTGTTTTGAATGACTACTTTGTGTCATGTTTTACATACATGACCTCATTTCATCCTCATAACATCATTTCTTGAGATATAAGTATTGTTCCCATTTTCTAGCTGAAACTAGAAAATGTGCAGGGTTATATGTGTGTATAAACACACACACACACAGAGAAGCTGAATACAAGTCTGAGAAACTCTAAAGCCCATAATGTTCATTTCATTAGGACTCTGGTAAAGTGGGAACTCACTCTTCCTGAGGAGATGCCCAGATTTTGTTCCTCAGGAAACATTGTTTGTATTTATTTAGTAGAGGGCGATGAGAAAGAAGATAAAGTTTGGATGAAGTTCTCCATTTTGAGCTTTAAACTGTTAGGAGTTCAGTTAAAAGAGGTGAAAATAGATGAAAGTCAGTTATATTTAAGCTAGTTATAGGGACTGTATGTACGAGATGGTTGGCTTCGAAATTTCAGTATTTAAATATTAGCTGCTCCTTACAACCACGTATATTTTCCATATACCAACACATTTCTCCCCCCTCCACCACTCTGGTTTCTTTGAATGACCTAGTTTGTATTGTTTTAGGTCAGTGCACCATGCCTCTGCCAATAGTTGAGTTTAAGCTGATTCCAAGGCAGATGAAACGTCTGTAGTCCATAGTACATCTATTCATGATTTGACTGTAGAAAAGTTTGCTTAAATGTTTTGTGGTTGAGTCAGACCACTTCTGCCCACCAGGGTGCAGATAACTTGTATACATACATGCTGGTAACACACAATATACTTGTAACTGAAGTTCATGTTTCTTTCTTTTTTCTTAGGTCGTTTTTATCTAGTATTTTTCTTTT